TATTAATTAAATGTCTAAATTACATAAATGGAGTAGTCAAAGTACATAGTGGTAATATTAGCTGTAAAACAAAATTTAAATACATATTGTACAAGAAAATGGAACTTATTGTGTTGCTGACATTAAGTTTCGTAAAGCTTCTTTTGCTAATTGGGAATTAGTCCAGTCGGTAGGTACATTTTACTTGAAAAAAGGTCATACAATTTTTTCTATTAGTATATTGTACACTATCTGATACGGACTCATGGCTGAAAAAGTATCTGGACTCAGGGCTGAAAATGACTTACCAATTCTTGGCACCCTCCATTGGTAACGCTGGAATACAATACGGTGTTGGCCCCCCCTTAGCCTTGATGACAGCCTCTCGCAGGTGCACTTTCAATCAGGTACTGGATGGTTTCTTGGGGAATTGTAGCCCATTCTTCACGGTTCTGCACTGAGGAAAGGTATCGATGTAAGTCGCTGAGGCCTGGCATGGAGTTGGCATTTCAAAACATCCCAAAGGTGTTCGATGGGGTTCAAGTCAGGAGTCTATGCAGGCCAGTCCATTACAAGGATGTTATTGACGTGTAACCACTCTGCCACAGGCTGTGCAGTATGAACAGGTGCTCGATTGTGTTGAAAGATGGAATCACCATCACTGAATTGCTCTTAACAGTGGGAAGCAAGAGTTTAAACCATCAATGTAGGCCTGTGCCATGATAGTGGCACACAAAACGAGTGCAAGTCCCCTCCATGAAAAACACTACACCATAACACCATTTTGGGTGTGACCGGATACTTTTGATCACATAGTGTATGTACCCAGGCACTAGTTAAAACTCCAAGTTTTCGACCTCTCATACCTTGTGCTAACTCCGGGAGACCAAAAATCCCCAGATTTTTCTGACTTTTTTCGTGTGTTTCTCTATAGCTCTATATATTAAATCCTGTAGAAAAATGATTCCATTTAATTTTCAAGGAAATAAAATTCCCTACAAGTTTTATATGATGCATTTTTCTAAACCAATTACTAAGCGAGTTACAGTTTTTCAAAAAACACTATTTTTCATTTCTTAAAAGAATCTGTGCAAAAATTCACATGTTTGTGATAATAATACTATCAGCCTATAATAAATGTAATAATTATTACAAGTAATATTGTTATTTATCTCACCTATGATATAAACATTGCCTCACAAATGTACCCATTGTCGAAAATATTAATATACAGAAAATAAAATGATGGCTGTGAATATGTCTGTGTTCGTGTTCCAGCTTAACACTTTAACACGGGAACAATACTATTCACCAAAACTTGATATATATTATTACTGAGTAATTACAATGTGGAAAAGAATACTGTATGAATAAGACATCCTGAGAGGTGTGGCTGCGAAGGGAGTTACATAAAAAAAATGAAAAAAACATTATGCAACCTGCAATGCCCATACCCCATGTAATGTGTATTGAAAGTGCACAGTGGGCATATAGGTGAGGCTGTTCAATAGAAGATTGTGATAAATAATTTTTCAGACAATGCTCGATATTCACTCGGTAAAATATAAATGGCAACTACTACTTTCCCTAGCAGTGCAATGTGGATAAGGTGCAATTATTGGGTAATTCGAGAATTAACTGGCTAATTCTTTCATTATCAAACATAGTCATGGTCATGAAATATTAATTTCATCCATAAAACGAGAGCTGTGAGTAAAAACTGGATTGCATTCTACAAATGAAGTAGTAATGGTTTTCATTGTGATAAGTATATAACTTAAAAATTAGATTTCCTTGAAGTTAATGCTTCTTGGCTGTTCTTGATGAATTTTTACCTCTTTAAGTTGTTGGTGTCATGTCTTGAAATTTTAAATTATTTTCCCAACTTTCTTCTACTACGAAGAGGATTCATGTGTTACTTTCATTGAGAAATTAAGCAAATGAAGATTAAAATGTGATTTGGGCTTTTTGAATTCATTTTCACATAAGTATTGACTTTGTAAGTTACTGATTTATATCTTATTTTTTTCTCATAACAGAACCTACTAAACTTTTACTCTCAGAATGTGTATATGATTTAGTATTGTATATTATTTTTCAATTCAATACTTTCAATTTTGATTATCTTAATGTAGTCAGTGATATATGTAGAGTATGGTGGGTATGTCATGTGCAAAGGTTGAGATGGCATTCAGCATTATTCATTTGTGATGACAGTGGAATAAAAATTGATAATTTCAGGAATAAACTCTTTTCTTGGAAAAGATGACATGATTTTTACTAGTAGAGTCACTTTAATAATGTGAAAAAGTCTATTGAGAGTCTTACTATGAATGACACATTTACTAGACCTTATTTATTTAAGATCTGCAACAATGTTGATGAAAATCAGAGATAGAAAAATACGTCTGTAGAACTGAGACAAAAACTAATGTCAAAAAGTCAATTTCTTGTCATTTGATTACGATTGATATTTTCTTTTTCAGTTATTTCCTTAATTTAAGGTATTTAATAATTATAATAATAAGCAAGATTCCCTTATGAATAAGTTATGATTATATTATGCCACATGATGGGTTCAAACAAGGGTCCCAGAAACATAACAATGTAACTTTTTTAGTTATGTAACAATAAATTCCATGGATTTTAATCAATTATTCTTTAATTGGGAAACACAATTTTCTAAAATATATTATTATAATTGTCTATAATATAAAACATGGACTTTATGCAAGAAAATAAATACTTAAAAAATCACATAACATGAAATATTATTATCTCCTTATCATTAGGTTTTTCCCCATCAATTAAAACATACGGGAAGTTGTTTCCTATTTATCTTTTAAATAATTTATTTTGACATTTTTTAAAAAAATGATTTATAATAAAAAAAATAACTACTTTGTTGTAGCAAGTATGTAAATAAATATGACTTTCTGAAATAGTAGTGTCTTGAAGCAAACATATCAAATGGTGTTGTGTTGTTTCTGTAATATTTTGAAAGATAGATTATTTTAAGCAGGCGATATCTATATATAAGTAAATGGGTATGTGTATGTCTGTCGCATATAGATGCCAAAACTACTCAACCAATTTTGCTGAACTTTTCACACATTGTTCTTATTAGTATCTGGAGTATTTAAAGAATGGTTTGAATTAAATCGGACATATGGGGGCATTGCTGATGATGACTTGCATTTATGACTCACTCATATGACTATACTCAAGTGCCCCTGAACAGAACCCCTAGGCAACATGCTGCACTGTCAAGTATCAAGTACAACTGTTGCTGCATATTTTGCATATTGTGAAATATTGGCTGAAATTTTAATGCCTGATATTGCTTTAAATTTTTCTCAGACAAGTAAATAAAATATCTTCAAGATATTGTCATTGCGAATACATACCCAAATTTGAGGAAGAACATTTTATCAATAGGATACTTCACAACCATGCCCAAACCAGGACATACCCATAGAACAAATCCATACTCATGAGAAAGTCTTTTATCTATTATATTCTGCAAAATGTGATTAACAATCATGTGACCAATAGCATATGAAGTGTAATACACTGCAATAGCGAAACATCGCGGAGTCCACTAGTTATAAATAAAATTCATAAAATAAATTAAACATCAAAACATATCACTCATCCTTTGGGGAACTTAATTAATTCAACTAATACTTATTAGTTGAATTAGTTAAAAAAGTAAAATGAGCTTCTAATAGAGAGTAATCCACAAAAATAGCATAAAAATTATGCCTGAAGTATGTAGCAGATGATATTTTCTCCACTATGGTACTATCTAATTTGTGGAAAAGAAAGTCCTATTCAGGAATAAAACACATCAATTAGGAAAAAGAGTAAAATAATGAAAATGGCTTTATTATTAATAAAATTTTCTTATTGATATTATCTGCCCTGGACATATTTAAAGCATCCCGGCATTTACCTTAAGCGGTCGGGGAAAACCAGGGAAAACAAAGGGTAGGTAAGCTACTGTATACTTACACTGCAAATACAAATTTATAAGTTAATATACTTTACTCAGAAAATGAAAATATAATTTTAAATCCTCAAACGGAGGTAATATATTATGCATCAAGACAGCTCCCAAATGTTTTAAAAAAACATTTGGAGATATTGGTAGCATACCTACCCTCCCGACCAGGATGACGGCTGAAGACCGGTTTTTAAAGGATAATTTTAGAAACAAATGTATGCAAATAAAATTTTGAAATTTTATCACGTCCTGCCAAAATGTCACTTGTAGTTATGGTACAGAAAAACTCTCAGCTAACTGCAAATATGAATTCAGCATCAAGATCTGTAACAGAGATCAATGAACAAATTTTCAGTGAAACATCTGCAATAAATCCAGTGTTCAAAAGTCTTTTATAAGTAAGTATACCACCTAATATTTTCTCTTATAAAAATAACATTGTTGTGAAATAAGCATTGGTTCATAAATCTAATTCTTAAAGATGACAAAGAAAATGAATATTTTTCTTGAACTACATAATAAACTTGTCTCATTAGTGCTACCCTCTGGTGGCGCATTGAGGGTAAGAACATAATGTTTGTATAGAATACTGAGCATAATTACAACTGTACTTACCATGCACTAAAACAGTCTTAAATATCATTGTAATGCCAATAGATATAAGATAGTTACAAAAAGTAATGTGTGAACTGGTAGTTAAATAGGTAAAAACCCATAATCTTTAAAACTGCAACCTTAAACATTTTAGTGAAATACAATAGCAGAATATAATTGAAGGGCATGGGTCAGTAACAAAATAAGCCATATCAGTTTTATCAAGCCTCATGCTATTTGAATATGTTAATATCTCAATTTTTGGGGAAGAATAACTTTTCTTGTTATTAGATTTGTCTTTCTCATATTTATGAAGGGTTAGGGGCAGTAATAATATGAGATATACTTCGATCCAAATGACTCTTTAAAATTTACAAACAGTGGGAGGCTTGCTGTGGTTGTTATGGCTTTTTGTGTTACTGCACCAAGACCTTGACTTTTAATTGGTATCATTAGGTTAGTAAAGATATACATGGTTACCTTGATAGTGAACCCCATATTTTTTTTGTTCAACAAATTCAAAATACAATTATTGTCTTACGGAGAGGAGAAAATAAATATTGTATACAAATTGTAGTGATATAGACTTGCATGTGGGTCGATGTCATAAGCATCTACGAAAATGTAATCAAACACAATTAATATAATATTTTCATGTTACGAAGTTACTTCATAAATTAATATCAGTATTAGTTTGAAACATACCTCTTGAACAGTATAAACTCAATAACTAGTAATAGCCAATTTTGTTTTCGGTATTAGCACGCTAACTCAGAGGTAACACATAAACTTTCCTATAACACATTTGGTATCATTTAAAAAACATGGTCTCTGATTAATTATAAGTATCTGTATTATGTATTATTATAGTATATGAAGAAATAGATATAAGAAGTACTTACCTGACTTTGGGGACAATTTTCAGACGTGAAGTCCTCCAGTCAAAAACTTCTTGACTAATCTCAGTGTAGAACTTGCAACAAAGAAATATTATTAAGTATTTTACACTACAAGTAATTACTATACAACAAGAGCATGGATAGACTCACCGATTTCTTCACTATATTCTGAATTTGAATATAAATTCAACACTATAAATGAATGGATCAACATTATGAAACATTAGTAATTTTTATTTTTACATTGGCCAGATAAGAAACTTCATAATTTGATTTTGGAGCACGAACGATTTGAACCAAGAGATGCATTGGGATTTGTTATAGTTCTCCATTTTACTCAATATCCTCACTATCAAAGTTTCCAAAATGTATTCTAAATTTCGTAATTAGCCTTGTAATTAATTGTTGCGCATTGAATTCAAACTCCACCATCGCATAATTTCGACGAGCTCGTCGCAAATTTTATCTTCTTCCACTCGTTTCATGCGTTTTTCCCGTTGTTTTTCCATAACTTCTACTGACGGGTGCCATCTGACCCTCTTTTTAGGAGCCTTGGGAGCCGTGTAGTTACCGTGCTTATCCCTTTTCTTCAAGATACTTTTCAGAATTCTCAATTTACGAGTTTCATTTTTAGAAGGATATAAGGCTCTTCTGACAGCGTATTTAAATTTTCGCTTTCCAGATTTCTTTTTCATACAGGACTTTCTCACAGATCTTTGGTATGTTTTTCTCCTATTTTCACGAATATGTCCTATTTTCTTGGTAAATCTAGCCATTTGAACAAGTTCAGTAAATTTGGGGTGAGGATACGTTAATTTTGTACGTACGTGACACTGCCAAACACGAATATGCAACGATTGTGTTTTTTTATATACCTTTGACGTATCCGTGCAACAATAAGATTGGGACAGAGTGCGCAATGGACGCGAAATGAAAGCAATTGTCAAAATAAATAAATAAAATACTGGAATATAGAGTATATAGTAATGTACCTAATTGACTCATAAGGTTCTACAGAATAATAAAACTGTTCTTATGAACTTAACTTCTCTACTTGGGGAATTTTTTTAAGACGTATCGATAGGATCTGAACAACAGTGTCAAAACAAATGTCTTCAGGTGATGAGGTGGAGTGAATGTTAGATAAAAGAGAGAAAACGCTTTACAAAAGTCCATATAAAACTGTTGGGAATTTACGAATTATTTGGGTTTTGTGATGTAAAAGTAAAGAAAAGAAAACAAGAAATGCTACATCAGAGATACTTTCTCCTTCTATAATTCACGCGTTTCTCGAATTCTCATTTTGTTGATGCGAAAGAAGGGGGATTTGGTTATTTTGATGCCAGTACTATCCAATCATTGAAGTAATTTTTTACGAAGGAAGTATCTGCACTTTATATTAAATAGAAGAGAAAAAGATTGTAACCAAATATCAATACGGATGGTGGATATGTTTTAAATGCCCTTCCTCCAGTTCGGATAAGAGAACTATCATTCGGGATCCTAATGATACAAAACGAAATCCAGCCACAAATTTCATTCGCATATTAATGTGCCGGTGATGTGGTGTCAGTTTTGTGTAAATAATTCAGATTAGTGGCATCTTTACGAAATTTTAAATTCGTTAATCATTCATAATTCACTCACGTAATCATGCAATGCTTAGGTAGTAATTAAATTTGTTTGCTTCCACGCAACAGATCAGATGATCCATCGAAAGCTGCTCCCCTAATGAATAAAATCGTTGGTAAAGACATTACTCTGAGTTATTTGTATTCATACATTGTGACGAGAATCACAATCAGAAGTGCTATTACTCAATTCATATGTCACAGAGAACTACAATGCTACCGAGAACTGTAGGCCAAAGTATGATTTTCTTAATTTTTTACTGCTTGAACCTACGGCGAAAATTACCGCAATTTACTCAAATTCAGAAAATTCATTTATAGAAATTCATCGATAGACATTCCTCAGCACTCAGTTTTATTCACCCCGCGGCCTTCAATGCACAGGTCTCACACAGTGTTTTGAGATACGTAGCAATGACCACCGGACAAAGACCCTGGTTTTGCACCACGAGTACAATACGAGTTCATCCCAACTAAAAATGCGCAAAGTCTTTCTTTTATATGAAGTTCTTAATACGATCGCTACCTTAATTAACTATTCATTAACTGAGTTCAAGGGAACGATATAGTTCATTTATTTTGATGCATAGGAAATAACGATGTGTTAAAAATTACAAATAAAAACAAACAAAATATTTAGACATTAAAATATAAAATGCAAGATTTTATTGAAATAAAATAATACCACCAATGATACTGTACATAAATAAGATTCAATAAAACAAATAATATAATAAAGAATACAATATAAGTCGAGGCTACGTAAGCAAGCTCACCGTATAAAATAAAAACGCATTTGCAATGATTCATATTTCTGTTCAAAAGCACTTGAAAGATCAAGCGCAGGAAACAAAAGGATGCTGGGGATAGGCTGATGAAGGTTTGTGGTTTGTACCGATCCTTGTTGGGAATACTTCAGTTGAACGATTTCGTCCACGAACGACACATCCCTAAAATATGATTGCGTCGGCTTCCGCGGCCGGAGTTTGAATTTGATAGGCTATCCGGGGTGAGCCGCGTTTCTATCGTGGTTGACGTTTAAACCAACATGTTTTGGCCTTCCTCAGAGTGTACTGCTGAGCAGCGTGCAACAGTACGCTCTCAGGAAGGCCACGCGATGTTGTTCAGCCGCCACGACAGAGACGCGGCTCATCCCGAATAGCCTAGAAAATATGACATCTCCCTTCATCCAACTGCAAGGCGCGTGTGTGTGGTTGCAGATGGGCGGGCCCCCGTTGCTCCGTGCGCCGCTGCGGGCGCTGCTACTGGCGGCGGTGCTGTGCCTGGGCCCCGGCCGCGCCGCGCTGCTCTCCAACAGCAGCCTCCTCGATGACCCCGAGCCCAACGCAGTCACTGGTGAGTGCGACTTACGGGACTAATGGCCTTAGCAGTTGACGCGCCTGGAACCACTTGCCAATCAATTAATCAGTTAATCCAAATGCTCATTGAAATTTCGAAATTTTTAAATTTGTTCGAGCTTTCATCTTTGTATTATCATAATATTTACAAATACCAAGAGAAAGCATGTGGTTACTAAAGCACCACTCATTTTAAAATTTTTCCGGAGCATAAAGGCTTCCAGAGCTAAACATTCGCGCATGCATTAATTTTCAAGTGAATTTTAATGAAAAAAGTAGTACATGATTAAACTTTGTTTGCAAGACTGTTTATTTCCTTGACATTTTTTACATGTTTTGCACCGATTGAGATAACTGTTATGCGTGTGCATTGTCATTTTAAACATATTCAAGGAAGCCAAAAAATTGTGCCCTCATTATGGGCTCTATTTGTATATAATTTCAAAAACGGTAACAAGTTTGAATTAGAACAAATTTCGACTGGTTATCTCCGACTGTTCTAGGGAAGACTATCACGATTTTAGACAGTTCTTGTGAAATAATTCTGTGATGTAAGATAAGATGTAAGTGTAGGCTTTTAATGGCTTTAACCACTAAACTAGGGTGAGACGACCGGTACTTGGAATAGACATTTGGAGCGGTATTGAATATTAGTTTTCATGAAATTCGCGTATACTTTCAGTCCAACATTTGTTTGTGATTACGACGTGGTTGGCGTTTCACACCACTAAGTATCACGTCTGAACCTCCACAGTTATAATTATTCATTTATGATCATCATTGACTCGTTGATGACCCTTAACATCATGAATTTAGTGGAAAGCAATGAAAATCATTAGTGCGATCATCTGATCAGGAAACAGGGCAAGGAGGAGTTTTTAGACTAAAGACGCGAAGGACCTTATATGTTATAATCACATTTCATATAGCGTCAAACTTCTTCAATACGGAACTCTGTCTAATGTGAACATAAATGGTGGTTCCGCCAAGCACAAAATCTACAGTATTACATTGCATAAAGCGGAATCTTGTCTAATACGGTAAAAAGTATGGTCCCTTGAGATTTCGCTTTGAGTAAGTTTTACTATACTATAAAAATGTTACAGGAAAACCTTCTTAAAAACTATCACAGTTCTTTTGTTCGTAAAACTTTCTGAATTTTTGAAAATCGCAAAAGTTTATAATATTTCCGGCGTATTCCTACGACAATTGAAGATATAGATTTTTATTATTAATGAAATATGTTTCTCAAATTGACATATTTAAAGAAGGCACAATGTACTGTTTATTTCCTTGATGTTTATTCCCTCCTGTTTATTTAATGAAAATGTACAATTTTTAAAAAGAACTTTAAAAATGATACAGGTACTATTTTAGGTGATCGCTGTATTTCCAAAAATAGGAAAACCTTACTATTGCAAAGGCACGGTATTGAAGAAAGATTTTTCCTTAATAAAGTGTCTTCTGAAAAAAGATGAAGGCTTAAGCCCTGGCCCCCGCTTGCCGTGTTGCAGAGGTGCGCGCGCTGCGCTGCGGGCCCGACGCTCTGCGCGTGCGCGTGCTGCTCCGCCGCGCCTTCCGCGGCCTGCTCTTCGCGCCGCTTCCCGGGGGAGTGCCGCGCGCAGGGCGCGGCGCAGCGCCCTCGACTCGCCCTGCCGGCCGCGCGTGCGGCGTGCGCCCTCGAGTCACAGGCCCGAACAGCCCAGGTGCGTGGCGGAGGGGCCCCTGTTGGCGTTTAGCTTCGTTCCTCGCCATCGCCCGGCTCCGCCACGGTCCCGCACACGCTCCCGCCACTGCTCCCCCCCGCTCCCGCCCCCGCTCCGCCCGCTCCCGCCCCGCTCACGCCCCGCTCACAGCCCGCTCACGGCCCCCTTCACGCCCCGCCTCACGCCCCCTTCACGCCCCGCTCACGCCCGCCTCACGCCCCGCTCACGCCCGCTCACGCCCCGCTCACGCCCCGCTCACGCCCGCTCACGCCCCGCTCAGCCCCGCGTCTACGCCGCGCGTCACGCCCCGCTCACGCCCCGCTCACGCCCCGCTCACGCCCCCGCTCACGCCCCGCTCACGCCCCGCTCACGCCCCGCCGCCCGTCACGCCCGCTCACTGCCCCGCCCCGCAATTTTT